AAACCCTTACATTATTTTTGCCCTTCCTAAATGACAAGTGGCTCTGAGACTGAATGCAGATTTTTTTCCCCTACCATGTCATTCTTTTGCTATGGGTTCACAGATTTCCTAAGTGAAAAAAACAAACAAAACATTTTACAACCTCCCCAGTCTTACTCATTCCTCAGCAATACATGGGTACTGAGGACACAGCTAGACACAAAGAAAAAAAAAAAAAGGAGAGAGAGAAAAGTCACATAGCAGTGTTTAGTCTGAAACTGATGGATTTTGTCTGGTCCACATGCAGTTTCCTCTGCTCTCAGATTCATTCAGATATCAGATACTTCCCACAAGTTCTATTTCTTTAGCACAGAGAGAGCGTATAGCAGTATCACTGTTCCCTGAGTCTGATTTACAGTTTGTCTACACAAAGGATTTCAGTTTTGCTTTTTGCTGTTAGATAAATGGCAAAGCTGCTTATGTTATAATTTCACCCTCAAACTCTTTAACTCAGATTGGGGACTAGAAGCAATCATGTCAATCTGGAATATTTCACCATCAATCTTCTTTCTACTCACAACAGCTCCATAAAGAACTGCTTGCTGCTTCTTCTCCACAGAAGTATGAAGCCAGCATACTTGGCTCCATCTCTCCCCAGTGTCTGCTTATGTACATGCAACATAAGAGGAAAAGAATGTCTTCCACCTTCATTTTTCACTTTATTTTGCAATATTCTGATCTATTCCTCTGTCACTTCTATCATTTCTCTGTTAACAACTTCTCTGGAATATATACGAAGCTTTGTCTTACTACAGTCACCTTCCACTAAGCAGTGCAGAAATAGCACAGAGCAAGAAGAATGCACAACCAATTTCTCTCCACAGCTTCCTTCCTGCAGCTGCAGTGAAACATGTATACCCACGTTTGGGAGACGTAAAGGATATTCCTAGCTATTTCCTTACTTCCAGCTTTTTCTTTTTAAACTCTGTCTTACTATGTTTAAATTGACACAACCCGGCAAAAGGCTAAGGCAGTGAAGGACAGAGCCTGAAGCACCTTTTACCCGTTCATTTTGAGCTCCTACCTTGGCCTAAAGGGCCACTGTCCAAGCTGGTCCATCTTTTCCTATGCTCAGTTACTGCCCCTTGCAGACTGGCACTTAGACTGTAGTTTAAGATCAGTGGGAGTGGATCTCACAAGTCACTTTGACTTTGTCTTGCTTTAAAACTCCACTGTTCTTTTACTCAGAGGATCAACAGAGATTCCACTCAGCAAAAGAAAGGCTCCAAGACAAGTTTGTGAAGTGTGATCCACAAATGCAGATCATGAAGGAATTCTGAAGAGTTCATAACAGATTAAACCACCACCCCCCTCCCAAAAATCAAAACCAAAACCACCAAAAAACCCACAAGCAAATTAAAAAAACAAAAATCTAAACCAACAAAACCCCAAACCACCAAACCAAGCCTTAGTGAGCTTAAATGCACCACTTGTAGACTACACTCAAGCAACAGAAATCCTGGGAAGAAAACTGAGTGTTGGAAATCAGAAAAGGAAAAAAAATATATACATATTCAAATTGAATGCACTTTTTGAAAACTACAGAAGTGTTGGTAGGATAAGTTTTAAGTATTAGACTGTATCAATTGAAGGAAATGGTTATCAGTACAAGCTAGTCCGTTCTCTTGAAAGACTTAATCACATCCATTCAAACTCTGTGAATCTAAACCTGCCTTCATTTATTTAGGAGTGCCAAGGAAGCACATAGAGAAACACACTACCTCCTTCACAAATTAACAAAGCCAAGCCATGGCCCCAGCTGTCACAAGTTTTAGGGCATGAATCAACTCCATCATACCGGTATATGACATCACTGATAAAGTTTACAAGCTACGACCTGTAAAAAATGCTATCAAAATCAGAATAAAAAACAGGTATTTCTGAACCATGTGAACTTCTAACACCTCAAGACAGTATAGTCTGAACTGACTTACAAATTCTAAGGATATTGTATCTTCTTCATGCTGTTTTCTAAATGTTACATTTTCTGAAGAAAAATAAAGAATGGCTGTGATGCAATTTTACCATCTTAATATCAGCATCATCATACCCTTCTTACTCTTTTTTTTATTCATCCTCTCAGACCTCATCTGCCCTGATACACTTCAACCGCCCTCCAATATACCCTCCTCCAGTGCAGCAACTTGCTCGAAAAGCAAATCCTCGTGTCAGGCAAAGTAGATCTGTTTCACCTACTTCTGAAAAACATTACATTTATCTGCTGCTTTTCAAACACCGCCACACAGACACAGCTTCAAGTAGACCGGGAGCCTGCACTCTGGAAATGCTTTAATGCCGTTCTCAGCAATGGTACGGAATATGCTTAGGTGTTTCGCTCGGGGCTCTTTTTGCCTAGTTAAACCACAATGAAAAGACAATGTGCCAAAATCAAAGACGCTGCAAGTTCACAAGTCCCCGTCTGACTTTCACTAGAGTTTGGAGAAAACGCCACCGGCCCGGGGAAGGCGTCAGACACCTGTCAGAAGTTCGGGGATGCAAAGGGGGTCCCACTGTTACTTCCGAGCCTGCATTTCTGCCCTTTCTCAGCCAGGTCTGCCCGCCTGTTTGCCTTGGCTCGCTCTCCTACTGGAAGCTTGCCGCAGGGAAACCAGCTCAACGCGAGAAAGCGCTTGCCTTTTTCTTTCTCCCTCCCCTTCTTTCCCCTCTCTCCTTTTTAAAGGGCAGCTCCAGCTCCATCTCCACCGCTGTCAGGGAGGAGAAACCCCATCGAGTTCACCACAGAGTCAGCAACCCCCACCACACACACAGACCTGCCGGCGCACCACGGCAGCCGCGGTCGAGAAGAAGGGGACGGGGACGACGGAGGGACACGGGAGCACACGGTCGGCGGCTGCAGGACCCGGCAGCTCCGCCGAGGGGGAAGGGGCGAAGAGGCCGCTCGCCCCACCAGCCGCCCCCCCACCCAGACGCGCCCGCGTCGTCCCCTCCCCAGAGCCACAGCCGCTGGAGGAAAGACATAAAGGAAAAGAAATCTGGGTCTCACCTTCCTTCTCGGCCCGGGCCGTGTGGAGAAGCACCGCCAGGGCCAAGCGCAGCGCCGCGACCCGCCAGACAGCCGCCCAGCTGCCGGCGCGAGGGAAGGGGGAGCCGGGGCAGCCGGGAGAACCGGGGCCCGCTGCCGCCTCCCGCCGCGCCGTCATCGCACTGCCGCAGACGGTGCGGGTCCGCCGTGTGTACGGCCGGGCCGCGGCGCGCGCGCGGAGGAGCTCGGGGAGGGGAGGGGCGGGGCCCGGGGTAGATGGAAGGCTGGGGGTGGGGGGGGGGGCGGGGAGGGCACCCCACAGCGCGCTGCGTCTCCTGACGCGTGTGTCACGGGGCGGGGGGGCATTCCACAGGGGTACGCGCGCGCACGCACACAGAGGCGCGTATCTTGCTGCCGGGGGCGGGGCTGCCAGACGACGGCGGAAGCAAGTGCCATTTTAAGTACGGGCAAGCTGCCTGTTTTGGTTGTCTATGGTAGAGAGTTTGGGCAGTGGCTTGTTTTGTTTTGTATTCAGTTTTATTTTCTAATGTAACCTTAGGTCTCCTGTGGGTGCTGGCTGTTCGTGGACGGGTCATTCCTCCTCCTCAGTAATCTCTTTACCCTGTCTTTTGAAGAGTTGGGGTGTCGCTGTATTGTTTCCTTACCGAGAGTAGCGGGGTTAGTCCTGCCCACATCCAAGATGGCGGCGGGATGGTGGCTGAGTGCAGGGCTGTGGCGGAGGGAGGCCAGCTCTCCACGGGCTGTGTGCGGCACCCTACGGCCTCTCGGCGGAGGCGTTTTTGTGTGTTGGTTATATCCTATTCCATGCCTTAGCCTCCCAGCCGCTCCTCTGGAGGCTCGGGGTATTGAGGGGCGCGTGTGTCCATAGCTGTACCGGTGTGAGAATCTGCTGAGCCGGGGGTGGTCTGTCCACACATCACTCTCACCGGCAATAGAAGTCAGAGGTGTTGTGTGCCTGAGGTGTAGTGTGAGGCCCTCTGCTAGAGCAAGGTGTGATACCACATGGTAGCCGCTGTTGAGGAAAGATTTGTACCTGACACTATGTTTCTGCGACTCGAGTGGCCATAGGGACTTTGTGAAATGCATGAAGTGAATTTGCAGTGGGGAGGAAGGCATGTTGTTACAAGTAGGAGGTTGATGCCTGTCAAGTGGGTGTGCTGGCAAACGGCCATGTTTTGCCAGTGCTGAAAGGAGCTGTGATGCCAGGCATGCAGTGTGGCTTTGCTGCTGATAAAAGAAATACGAAGCACAGCCACAGCTTAGCCTGGGTGTCATCTGAGATCAGGATTGTTAACTGCAAAGTCATCTGAGATAAAGCAACAGAGAAGTCTATAGTACAGGTAGTAGTACTGTTGAACTGGTTTAACTTCTAAGAGTAAAAAGCTTTTTGCATCCATGCTCTGTTCCTTTGTCATTTGTTTCCATACATGATCAACACGTTCTGTTAGGTTTGAAGTGCTTGAACACGTGGTGGAATTTCAGCTGTCACAACAGTGTAATAGATTGGGGTAGTGTAATAGATCCTAAGTCTCTAAGGGACTGACTAACGCACAGCCTACCTAAAAATAGTAACATTTATTATGGCTCTTACACAGTCATAACATACACTCTTCTTTATTTTCAGAATGCCCTAAGGACACCTTGAAATTCTGGATACTGTTGTGTCGTTGAACTATGGTCACAGCACCAACTAGGTTTATATTAAAGGGAAAAATAGAAAGTGAGAACTGTTAGGTCAAAGCCTTCCCCAGCAACAGTGATCATTTCTGTAAGATGTATGAAGAGTCAAGTTAAAAGCTTCTTACTAATCTTTCAAACTTGCATAATCTTTTGACCACTGCATTGAAAAAGGGTATCTATGAATCAGTGACTTAGGCACATGAGTCTCTGTTCACAGCTCTTGGAACCACCTAAACCACAGTAAACACAAAGCCCAATCTGCTGTGAGACTTCTGTGGGGGATAGACATGTACATCAAAGAGCACAATCAAATCTAAGCAAAGGACTAAGAAAGACAAACAGCTGCTAGTGCTGCTTATTTATTATGGTGGGCCCTGTAAGAGTCTGATTTTGCCTTCTTCACTAGACTACTGCAGTAAACACACTATTTTTCTGGGAAAGGAGTCAGCTTTTTTCTATTTCTTGTATTTCAAATGCAGAGTTGCACAACTGAGCTGCCAGACTTTCTTGCTGTAATTCATGCTGTAGAGCATCCTACCCACTAAAATGAATGGGAACTCTAATGAAACTAAGATGTAAGGATGGCAAAATCTGCCTTGGAGTAAAAATGGAAATGCCAACTGTGCTATTAAAAAAAAAGGCCATGATATAAATGAGAGAACAACTGTGAGTCCTACCATTATGGGATGTATGATTCTTAAACCTTACAGCATTAAAATATGGGCAGTTTTTAATTGCTCTGTATACAGAATGTCTTTTACAAAAGGTATTATTAGATGTGTATGAAAACAAATAGCTCACAATATGTATTCTCCCTTTCATCTTTGTCCAGAACTCCCACTGTTTTCTGTGCAGGAAAAAAACAATACAATATGGTTCAATGTCTGCAAATGATAAAGCAAAAAGCATTCTGTTAATTTATTTCATACTGTTCATTTATTTCATGTTTGAGGCTATTCAGATTGCTTGGTTTATGCATGCAGTGTGTATAAATATCAGCATTTGGATATTGCAGTAGTGCTTGACCCTACTGAGCAGTTTTTTAAAAAAAACTTCCTATACTAAAAAAACTTCAACCTTCTTGTAATAAACTATAACAAAACATAGAAATAGTTCTTATAGAAATGTACTTGTGTTGATAGAAAGAAATCACATTAGTGTGTACACACTAAAGTTCAGCAGCTGTCTCATCAGATGAAGAAATCTCCTGTTCTACTGGAGAACACATCAGAAAGGCTTTGAAATGGGGAGCCGTGCTCTGAATTCTGCAGCAGTTTTGAGCATTGTTAGCATGGCTGCTAAGACAAAGTAAATTTAACACCAGAAGAGGTATGGTGGGTCTGCCTTCAGTTTTGCCTGCCTTAAGTGAAAAGGTCTGTACTTAAAGACGGCAACATTTCCTGAGCTACAGTAGTGTAAACTATCCTCCTAAGCACACCCAAGTGCCAGCATCCAACTGTAATGTCACAGAAGCCGTTGATGGTTTATACTTTTTTCTGTGCAAGGAACCAGGATGTCTAGAATACAGGTGTGTGGTTTCTGTCCTGCCACCTTTTGCTATCGAAGCAGAAACTTCTGGGAGGGTGGCAGAACAGTTAAGTAGAAGCTATAACCCCTTAACTGCTGGTACTCATTAGAGGTGATCTGCCTGACACACTGTAAAAGCAATAATCAAATGTTTGAACCACATTGTGTGTCATGCATGGGGTTACCTCTTCTGTGGTACATGAAACAAATCCAGGTGATGTTACACTTTAATAGATGAGAAATGTTCATGGGGTCCCTTTCTCAGGTTCAGCTGGGAGGAACTCATGGTGGGAAATAGGTTCTTAAACTGGCATTGGTGTTCCTGTCATGAATGTGCTTCAGGTTACTTTCTCTTTGCTTTTACCAAATGTTGTACATAGTCAATTGGTAGAAAATAAACGAAGCAAAGAAAGAAATGTGGAGAGAGGAGGCTGTTGGATTAGCCAATCAACTTTCTGGCTAGTACAGACTTCCTCCTGGTGGCTTGTTTATTGGTATTTTTCAAATTCTTTTTTAAATAACTAATGGAATTCCCAACCACTTCCTCTGAAAAATTTGCACAATCTCTGCTCTTCACTGCCAACAAGATTTCCTGATACTCAGTCTTTCACCACCCTCTTTTCATTTACTCCTACTTGTTCCCGTATGTATAAGCCCAAGTATTTCTTCCCCATCTTTAAGGGTTGCGTTACTTGACCATTTGCTGGCTGGAGACATGCCTGTATCTACCTCTGCTTTAATGAAACTAGAGGTATTAAACTCTTTTAACCTTTCTATATAAAACCATTCTTCCAGATAACTCTTGCCGCTGTTCCTTAAATTGCCTCATTTGCCTTGACGTTATGATGGATTGCACAGAAACTATGCATGTACCAGTGTTGAGTCTGCTGGGGAAAAGTTGTCCTTTCAGAAATGTTTCAATAAGCTGGAGCTGCCAGAACGGGTTTGCATCACTTCAGTTTTTTGCATTACTTGGATACACTTTTGAGCACCCTAAAACTGGATTTTCCAGCCTTTGGATCTGTGGTGTGTCTTTTAGTTACCAATACTTTGCAGCTCTGGTACTTGGCTAGACCTGTGTGCTGAAGGCAAACCTGTAAGCAGGACAGGTGGCTCAGGGCTCCTGCCCTGCTGCAATGTCCATAACAGCTTCAAGTCATTGGAGGGCTTTGTTTCAACATTTGTGGCATTGTGAAACTTGTGGATGGAGAAAATAGCAGGTGCGATACACTCGGGTTTTAATATTCAGGATTGTCTGCAAGATTTCTTTTCAGTGAACCCTCATTAACTTTTACTTAATGACTTTATTTTCTAAATATACAGTGGTAAATTTTTATCATTTGTTTACTTCTAGTTTCTGTTTGCCCAATCATGCATATGATCATACATCTAAATTAAAGTCCAAGGTGTGTCTGATTTTTGTTAACCCACTGAGAAAATATATCCTTAACTTTAAGAATTTTACATTTGATGAACTAAATGTAATGATCCAGATGTTACCTTCTCAGAGAAAGGGATGACTTCTGATTGTGCTCATTATTTACGATACACGCTTGCCTAATGAGAGCCAGCTTTCACCTTTGCCATGATAAAACCCATGAAATTCTGTGTGGTTTTGGGTTATTGGTTTACACTAATAAAAGAACTGATGCAGTATTCTGCTGGCAATAGTACTAGCTGTAGTATCACTCTTATGAACTATGATGTGAACTGTTGCTGTGGATACATACCTGGAAAGTTGCATGCAGTAAGCCTCATCCACTTGACCAACCTCTCCACATATCCCCACTGCTATATCAGTTCATGCAATTGCCGTATTGTAATCTGTCTCTCCTACTGTGGTCCTGGCACCAGACAGGTCTGATCTGGGATCACCTAATTATCTGTGTCTGGCATATAGGTTGGGTATATAAAAGGTGAAGGCACACAGAGAAGGCTGACTAAGAATAGGTGTTGTGTGGCAGTAGTTTAGTGACAAGAGCTCTCCATTCTGATTGACAAATTACTGTTACTTGACCTAATGCATTATTAGTGTCCTCATGCCTTATCCCATGTGGTGCCACACAGTGGGACATAGCAAACTTGGGAGATAACAGCACAAAGAGCTCATTCCCGCCGCAGAGTCCAACAGAACGGAAGACTTCAACACAAAGTTAGGTCCATGCAGAAGAGTGCTGTCAGTGAAGGGAACTGGCTCCCATTCAGCCATGTCTGTGTTAGATGCCTTGCTCCAGACTTTCCAGATTCGTTCCCCAGGGGTGCAGCAGTCGGCCCCCTTTTGCTGCCAGCAGAGTAATATTGCCTCCTCAGTGTTTTGACAACCTGGCACAATTTCTGGTATAATTAATAGGTATTTGGTGTAATAGCAAGACATGTGGTATTGATTCCCCTCGTATTCCACACTGATTCAGCAATGCTGGAACTTGGTAACACAGGACGCCTTTCAATGGTAAGTCTGGTAGAAATCAAGACTGCTGAAATGGTATTGAAGTGTCATACCCTCTGAACCATGCTAGATAGCTGCTAATTGTGTTGTAAATTCTGTGTGTTGATTTTACTGCTGGAAGAAGAGGCATTTAGTGTAAAACCACCCTTGACTGCAGAAGCAATTTGCTGGTACATTAGAAAGACAGAGAAAAGAGGAAGAAATAGAAAATGAATGAGCTTGAGCAGAGTGCTGACCAACCAAATACCCTGTTCACCCGAAAGATACACAGATACATTCTTAAGTTCCTAAAGCTTTTCTGAGTGTTAAAACTTTATTGTAAATCTGTTTGTTCAATTAAATGGGATTCTACCAAAATGGTGGTATATTCAGCTATGCATATCTTTTCTGGTGAGCACATCCAACAACACTGAAATGATGCCCCAGTGACAAGGGGTATCCATCAGTACCTAGGTGAAAAGGTATTAATTAATACTCAGACTGCTGAAGTGCGAGTGATGTTTTCATGCCAACATGAAAATGATCAGCATGCTTGGATCATTTATCCATTTGTCTCCGTGCAGATATAGAAGCCCAGCCACAGACACCTCCCATCTGAAATCACTGGCCACAGTTAATTCAGCCGCAGATTATCTGCCAATGCACATTGTTCAACAACCTTGTCGGTGACATGGCCAGTGGGATTGAGTGCGCCCTCAGCAAGTTTGCGGATGACACCAAGCTGGAGGGAAAGAATGCCATCCAGAGAGACCTTGACATGCTTGTGAGGTGGGCTGGTGCCAACCTCATGAAGTTTAACCATGACAAGTGCAAGATCCTACACCTGGGTCGGAGCAATCCCAGGCACAGCTACAGGCTGGGCAGAGAAGAGATTCAGAGCAACCCTGCAGAGAAGGACTTGGGGGTGTTGGTCGATGAGAAAATGAACATGAGCCAGCAGTGTGCGGTCACAGCCCAGAAAGCCAACCATATCCTGGGCTGCATCAAAAGGAGTGTGACCAGCAGGTCGAAGGAGGTGATCCTGCCCCTTTATTCTGCTCTCGTGAGACCTCACTTGGAGTATTGTGTGCAGTTCTGGTGTCCTCAACATAAAAAGGACATGGATCTGTTGGAACAAGTCCAGAGGAGGGCCACGAGGATGATCAGGGGACTGGAGCACCTCCTGTATGAAGATAGGCTGAGAAAGTTGGGGCTGTTCAGCCTAGAGAAGAGAAGGCTCTGTGGAGACCTCATAGCAGCCTTCCAGTATCTGAAGGGGGCCTATAGGGATGCTGGGGAGGGGCTCTTCATTAGGGACTGTAGTGATAGGACAAGGGGTAATGGGTTAAAACTTAAACAGGGAAGTTTAGGTTGGATATAAGGAGGAAATTCTTTCCTGTCAGGGTGGTGAGGCACTGGAATAGGTTGCCCAGGGAGGTTGTGAATGCTCCATCCCTGGCAGTGTTCAAGACCAGGTTGGATGAAGCCTTGGGTGAGATGGTTTAGTGTGAAGTGTCCCTGCCCATGGCAGGGGGTTTGGAATTTGATGATCTTAAGGTCCTTTCCCACCCTAACTATTCTATGATTCTATGAACTCAGATATCCCTATGGCACAGGGAGGCATTTTTGTGAGGTGCTGTTGATTTCAGTTCACAAGCTGAATAAAGCAGTAGTAGATGAAGCGTGCAAAGAGGTCACACATCAGTTGCTGGAGATTCCGGTTGCTGCCTAGGCCCTTGATCCTTAAAGAAGGAGACCCAAGTCAGAGATGTCTACGCATGAAGGTTAACATGCAGGATGAGGCAGATTGAAATTCTGATGGTAGAACTTGATTAAATGCCTTAAAATTTGAAAGCAGCTCCATCTGCTTCTTCCTGCTTTATGTGCTTATGGTGTGTCTTCATCTCCATCTTAAAATCTCTCTTCTGGAGGAACTTGAATAGTTTGACGATTAGCAGCTTCTCTTTGCCCTTCAGACAGGTCCAGATATTTTCTCCATCTGAACTGAGTCATATGCTACACAGTCTGAAAAATGAGTAGGTGGAAGTCTGGATTTTCCTGGCCTTTCAGGTAGCCTGTGTTATCATTAGTACTGGCGTTTTGGGTACAGACTCTGCAGTTTGCTCTTTTTTGGTCATCTGCTGTCTCTTTCATTTCTGTTTCTGGGTTGGATTGTATAAATGATGACTTTTCACTGTTGTCCAACTTCCCCTTTGTTGCTGTGGCTAAGCACCTCTTTCACTTCTGCATGTTAAAATGGGCATAAATAAATAAATAAAACGATGAGACCAAAAGCTCGGGTAGGCTGTCATGGTGCAGCTTTGTAGGCTTGGAAACACCTTTCCTGGTATTTTTATTGGTGTGGACTGACTGACATCACTTTAACATGTCTCCAAGTGCTTATTATCTCATCTCTCACACTGGGAAGTAAGGTCTCTCAAGAAGTAAAACAGAGATATTCACAAATGAGGGTTAGCCCCAAAGTCTATAAAATATACAAGTATCATCTTTCATGGCTCTATTCCCTCAGCTTCCATATTTGTGACCTCTGCACCTTCTTTTAAAATGCTCTGTGATGTCCTTTTTGTGCTATAGGCTCTGGGGGCAAGAGTAGGGTCTGTGGAGCTGAGGTATGGAGCACATGAGTGTTTTACACTCCCTTTCACCCTTCTGAAAAGATACCTCATCTGTCAGGGCAGAAAAAAAAGAGAAGTGGCACCAGCTGAGAGGGACAGGAGTAACACAACTCTGCAAGAGGCTTCAGTAACAGTGTGGGGCTGAGCAGTCCCACAAATGGGATATAGCCGGTGCTTCAGCATTTGGCTGTAGTCCCCAGTGCTGGATCATCCTAACTAGGCCAGCCTCACACTGTCCTGCAAAATTGTGCCTAGTGTCTATCAAATCCCTGAGATATGGCTGAGTATAAGACATCCCAGTCTTTTGTAATACACCAGAGTACAAAAAGGTGGAAAAGATGAAGTGCTGCCTTGGATGAGCTGTGGCTAGGTTAAAGCTTCTGAGGCTCCTGAAAAAGTAGTGTATTGGAGAAGTTTATTTCTAAGAAGAGCCAGGTGCACTTCCAGGTACTGCTCTCCCATTGGCAGCACAAGACCTATTGGCCTTGCCTGTCTGAACTGAGGTATAGACATCTGGGCATGCACTAAGACAAAGGTGGAATTTCATCTAACACAAAGAACGAGGGAGAATTAAGAACACAGATAAGACAGAGCATTTGGGAACCAGTCTCTTCTCTGGAATATTAAAAGACATTATACATACCTCAGAGGTTACGTCTACATGAATGGGTGTGAGAGTTGCTTGCCTGCTCTTATGCTTTGAGATCCCAGGATGCAGGCCAGCTCTGATACGAAAACTGAAACGCCAACAATATGACACTGTGCTCATCTAAGTGCTCCCTGCAGGACGTAACAACACAGCTCTGAACTTTTGGTTAATGCAAGTACCTGATAGCCAGACCAGTCTGGCTTATGTCCAGCTAGCTCTGACCACAAGCAACTGCATGCACCACTCTGCATGAACACTTTTGGTTAGTTGCAGTAGTTAGCTCTCACAATGGCTTCTGCAGCAGTCATAACACAGATACAGAGCAAATTGCCAGTCATTGCGCAGTGGAAGCAAACTGGTTTTGTGACAACACTACTTTTAGTATAAAATTTCATATTTCATAGTACATAATTCCTTTGTATTATTCAAGTAAAATGTAAGAATGACAATATATTGAAAACAAAGAAAAATTAATTAAAACCAGAGGAGCTCTAAACTGACGTATTTAAAATTACTTCAAAATGAAATAAATCTTTTCAAAGAAAAATAGGTTTCATGTAGGTCCAAAACAAGCAGCAAGCAACAAAATCCAGAATTGTGCAGAAATGATTTAGGTAATGAATGGAGAGGAAATGGTCAAACAGGGCTGAACTGAATAAAGTACATTTGCAAGTTCTTGAAAAACCCGTGTAGGAGGGAGTCCGGCAGAAAATCTGTAAACTGAGTATGACTAAACTTGATCCAGATAAGGGTTTCATTGGAGAATAAAAGACAAAACCTCTGATCTCGGTTGCTGTTAGAGAAAATTGAGTAATAAACAACAGTTCTGTTAATGTCTTAATCATAGCTTATACAGAATTTTCTGTTGCCAACATTCCTCTGCTTCTCATTGTACTTTGAGACAGTGTGGTTTGTGTGAGTGTCTCAAGTGGTCACAATAACTCTTACAGGAGGAGGCCTGACTCCTTGTAGGCCACCAAAGCCGGACATGTCAGAAGAAAAGGACTAGATGAAAAGCAGCCAAAGGGTCTTCCTGGCTGGGGATTGTGCAGCCAGCCATCAGCCTGCTTTCATGGCAACACTAGTAACAGAAACATCCCCAGAGAGCCATTTGGGCAAACAACGACAACAGATGGATCTTGGGAGTCCAGCTTCTCCCTTAAGCAACATCTGCTGATGTTAAAAAGTACCCAGAAAGCCACACCACACTTAAAAATGAAACAAACCAATCTTCAGGAAGAAGAACAAACCAAGATAAATTAGCTGCCAAAGTGCATACTTGTTGCGATAACCTGCATTTTATCAATAAAGCTGCATGAAAATGTTGCATAGCAGCAGTCATGCTAGATAGAGAGCAAAGATCATTCGGTATCAAAACCAAGAGTCTGAGCCCAGCGAGGGCTGGTCACGTCCAGAACTTGCAGATATCAAACTCTTGATCCTGCTCAAAACGGTTATTTACTATCCCTTCTGGTTTACCTGGATATCCCTCCTAAAATGTAAGGAAGGAAAGCTTTGTTAGATTCTTGTGTGGCTCTTAAGTCTTGTGATCTGTTTCAAGTCAGAAAACTGAGAAACAAAATACGTACACTGACTGAAAGGTGGGAAGAGGGAACACCAAAGCTTCACATAGATAACCTATACATTTATAATAGAGATGGGAAAGCATATTTTTGAAACTACTGCCCCTAATTAAAAACAAACAACAAAACAATAGCCAAAAAAAGGCCAAACCCCAAAACCCAGCGCTGCAGTGACATTCTGTGAAATTCTCAAACTTGGTACTACATCTGGTCATTGATAACTAAGCTGGTAGCCTGGTGGCTACCTATACAGAAAGCTGTGCAAGTTTCTCAAGCACAAGTGAAAACTGAGTAGTTTAGAGTTCAATTTAATTTCATTTTTCATAACATTTAATTTCTTTTCATGTTTCGTATCTTTGAAACCAGTGTCATTTTTAGCTCTTCAAAATACAGGGGCACCAGTTTCATTTTTGCAAGCCTACATATTTAAAGGAGGGTGTTTAAACAGTGCTGGCAAGTCTGTATTTCTAAATGTTAGTGTTCTGCGTTTCAGCTAAATAAAGAAAGCAGGATTTGCAGTTGAAAAATTAAGGTTGTAAGCTCAAGAAAATATGGTTAGAAGAAATATGCGGAAAACCAAAAATGCC